CCCCAAAACCCCAAAACCCCAAAACCCCAAAACCCCAAAACCCCAACAAATATTATTAATTGATTATACAATTGTTTGGGAATATGGGTAAGAAACCGTATTATTTACGCACATGCTAACAATATGTTTATAGAACCCCCTGATACGGAGAAAAAGCAATTAGAAGGAATAGATAAAGAGGTACTACAAACTAAACAAATGGCTGAAATTTCAAACTGCATTAAGCATCTGATCCCTAATTCGACCATTACAGTCAAAGATTTCCCCTCTGATGAGAAGCAGGAGGTATGCCAAATGGTAGGTATGTGGCCCTGATTCCACGTAGGAAGCCTTCCAGCAGCTTTTAGTCCGTGGGCAATCCCATAAGCATTAATTTTAGAAAATCCTTAGCAGTTCATATGATTCTGGAGCATTTGTAGGCTTCCATTTATAGCATTCTAACAATTTCATTGAGTTAGGACTTTTTGTATTACTAAAATGGACTAAATAGGCTGAGTAGGATACTTCCAGCTACATTTAAGACAATTCTAGCATTTAAACAATGATTCCTAAATTTCTACAAATTATATGAATAAATTTCTTCCACATATATTTCATATTTTCCCAAATCTCGAATGCTTATCTGGCAGAAACTTTGGGCACGCATTCCTGGCCTAGCTGGCGGTTCAGTGTTTCAGCCATTACAGACTTATGCATCCCACCCCAGCTTGGGGCATCGAAATGAATTGGTGTTGTTTCCAATTGGGTCATGAACAAACCCATAATTCCACAATGATATCTTACAAGTCTTATATAGGATAAGACTGACCAGGAGATAGAGGAGTTGTACGGTAAGAACCTTCACAAACTTTTATCACTATAATAATCATTCCACTTCATTTCCAGGGGTAGCCACTCAGTGTAGTGGTTGTTCACTAGGATTTGGATTTAGCACATTTTTAGCTGTGTGCAGTAGGAGATGACTAGAGTAAATTTGGTGAGATGTTGCTATTTGTGGTCATGATACTACGAAAATAGGACACTATAGGCCTTGAGAGATCATTATAGTATGTTAGATATATACCTCCTTACTGGCTTGAGTTTCTGGAGGTTTAAATAAAGCACATTTACAGCTGAATTAGATTACAAATCACTAAATTATCCCAAATTTATCCATTCATTTCTAGATTATCTTACCTTATTTTAGAAGAAGGAGATATTTACGAGGATGAAGATGACGATGACTTATATGAAGATGAAGAAGATTTCCCTGAACCTCAACCAGAAGATGCAAACTTACTAAAGGATAAAAATGTTCATTATTACCAAAACGGGAAAGGTAGGTATCTTCCACCTAGGGAAATTCACATTCTCATCAGGAATCCCGCCAGTATAATTCATCTAATTTTGGCGTAGCCCTACCTAGCTAATTGATGACTTCTGTGCTTCATGTATTCACATCATTTAGAAACTTTTGCGATCAAAAAGATGCCTGGGAAAAAGGTAACTCCAGAAGAAAATCCAAAACAAAATAAGGAATTGCTTCAAAATCCAGGGATGAACATTTCAACTCTAGAAGAGCTGACCAGGTTCAAGAAGAAGCAGAAGGAGCTCAATGACACATTGGAAGAGATTTATCTAAACAACCTGGACTATCCACAAGTGGAAGATAGGCTATTCAACCCTGAGGTAAGCACTTGCCTATATCTCAATGGCTAAATCAGTCCATATAGTTCCTTGGATTTCTAGAAGAAGTCTCAAAAAGAAAGAAGCAGGAGAGAAAGATACAAGAAGCCAGAATGAAGGACAGAAAAATCCCTGAAGAGCGCAAAGAGATTGAGTACAAAGGTCTTGATTACCTCCTCACTGAGATTCTCAGAAAAGCCTCTGAGTATCTTAGCAGTAAGAGTGAGAGTATCACCAGAAGAGCACACGTGGAGGAGAATAATAATCATTTCTTGAACGAGGTCAATGGTAAGATCAAAGGAAAGATGTTCGCTAAGTAAGCTGCAATATCTAACCCTCCATAGAACAGTGAGGCAGGCATATAGCTCGATCATTATTCAGAACCCTACTTCTAGCATAATTCAGCAATTTAGAGAAGCTCCAAGCGCATATATTTTCTTTGTGCATGAGCTGATCCAAGCATTCATTGATATTTGTAATTCATCAACGATGTTGTACAAAATATTTGATAAGCTGAAGAAGCATTTTTGGGCAGATACACCTGGAGGTGTGAACTCATCCCCTCTGCAAAACAACATCAAGGACAAAGTCAACGTAGAGACGGAACATCTTGCTCTATTCTACTATCACATCCTTCGAGAGAATGTAAGAGACCCCTCACTAGCATAGGCAACCAGGAAAATCATGAAGAGTGCGAAACAGACTTTGGAGGATGATAAGATTACTCTACAAGAGTATAAAATATTTATTACGATCATCGAGATTTACAAGAAAGTCTACCTCCATTGTAAGAACTGATACAATAAAGCTCTAATCAAGACCAGGTTTGAAAATAAAGGTAAAGCTTACAAAGGAATGCAAGGTAAGGGCTGTATGGACAAGAACTGCCCCAACTGTCACCGCAGAGTTATGAACGCCGAACAAGTCATGGCAAGGGAAAAAGCGGAAGAATGTAACTACTCCCAAGAAGAGAGTGCCTCTAAAAAGCCTGATGAAGCCAAGAACACCGCTGTTGATTCCTACGATGATGAATATGACGACCTCATGGATGAAGAAGAGGAGAGCTCTGATGACGAGTATGACCAGACCTACAACATCACTCAGGTTTTTCCTGAAGAACTTAAGGCTTACAGTGAGATGATGAACAGAATCCTCTCCAAAATAAAGCATAACGAGAAAGTCATGAAGAAAATGAATGATCTCTCCGTCGACGACCTTGTCAGTATCATTGAAGAGAAGGAAAAGGGCTGTGAAGACAAATCCTCTAAGAAGAAGAAGAAAAAGAAGAAGAATAAGTAAGAAGAAAGGTACAGACAAAGAACCTAATTTTGAGGAGCAGATCGACCAAATTCCTATAGAGATCCCTCCTGATTTAGTGCAGGTCAAGGTTGGGCCCAAGAAGGATAAAAACAAGGCTACTACTAAGCAAGGTACAAAGTTTGCAAGTAATCCTTTAGACAAAGATCCCGCCAAACCTGCTGAAATATATGACCTGGATAACGAGTCCTTAGATGAGGAGGAGTTATTTAGCGAAATTAGAAGAAGACTTGAAGATTGCATCCCGAAGAGTAAGAAGCTGATTCCCAACTTTTCAAAGGACTGGATCTTAGTCTTGAGGCAAAGACTACAAGTATAGTCAGCCTCCTTGCCTTGCCATACTTACTTTACTACGTTCATCTAATTTTGAAATAAAATTAGAATCCCAAAATGCTAAATGGTCAATAAGGTTGATATAATTGGGGTTTTGGGGTTTTGGGGTTTTGGGGTTTTGGGG